AAATGCAAGTTTCTTCACTTTGATTATTTTGACGAGAGCCTGATTCCACCATGCTGCCTCACACATGTTCTATCTGCTATATCAAAATGATACGATTATACGGAAGCGTTATCGAGATATTCAAATAATTGCATTTGAAACACCTTGACATGTTGAAAACTCAAAATTTTTGTTAACGTCACATTTCTGAAAACTAGGTAGCCTACTGAGCAGATAGAACTTTGCATCTGTGGTAGCGGTTCTTTGTTGTTTTTTTCTTTTTTAAAGGAGATGAAAAAATCATTCATTTACTCGTCTATGTCTTGTGAATTTGTTTTCTGATCACCTCGTTATCTAGTACAATCTAGCAGGGAAATAGCGGGATTTAGCACATTATGTGGGTTTTCCAAAATTTTCTAATTGTTATGCTTTCGTTGTAATCAATGCCCTACTCTATTGTTAGAAATAAGTAAGTCCTTTTTTTTTTAGTTTAGTCACTTTTGATTTCATAGACCTAACCTCCCCCCTCCCCCTTTCTATAAGTTATAAGTCTTCTACTTGTCCGATAATCTTTCAAATGAACATTCGCAAGAAGAGACGGTGATGAATGTTGGAACTGTATTCTTTTCATTTAATTAGTTTTGTATAATCCAATGTGCATGTATGAATTTGCAGGAACAATAATACATGTAATGATATTGTACCAAATCAAGATTTTATGCTCTCAATGCGACCCGTTGAGTTGAGGGATGTAGTATCGCGTAGGCTGAATCGCTGACGACTGGAATACATCAACAATATTATTATACACGTTGAACCTCTCAGAGGAGAAAAAGGTGAACTATCTGTGCTCTTTCAAGAATTATTTTTCTTCTCGGTGTTTTCTTTCCTTTTTTCATACCCGAATTAAATGTTTTTAAAACATTTCCTGTGTAAACTGAATAAGTGAACAACAATGTTTTGAAGTATCCTTTCTAAGTGTTTGTATTACGATTTTAAAAAAATTCCACTGCGTACTGTATTTTTCAAAAGTTTATGAACATGTGTATGTTTGTGTTGTGCAGTGATTGAAGAATTCCTCTCGTTTTGTATTAAAGATGTAACATTGTTAGACAGCATTTGCTACTGTTGTGGTTTCCCTGAACAGAACAATCTCTGCCAGCTGGCGTTTCAGTTAGTGATGCTATATTATCAGAAATTGTACAGCTCCTTATGTTGTTGTAAAATAAACTTCCTATAGGGACCAGTTTATTGGCGCTCATCTGACCTTATGCAGTTGCGAGCGCCGTAAAACCCTCTACTATAAAAAAGGGACCACTTTTTCTTAGAACATCTACATCATGAAGTGCCCTGTTTGAAAAATCAAAACAAAAACAAATATGGAAGAAAAAAACCACCCCCTCCCCTCCCTCACCCCCCAAAAAGAAAAGAAACGGAAAGAAACATCAGCGATCATGGTGGTTCCCCAATTATTTCTGTGCTCCAATGCTCTTAAAAGAAATTAACTATTATTATGCTTGACTTTCCTCGCGTCACTCATTTATTCAGGATTTTCCAAATAAATCGTTCTAGTTTCCTCCAGCCTTATTTTCCTTCCATTTTTCCAGTGAGAGCAAGTCTTTTTTCATAAAAACGTGATAATATCACAGTAATATTTTAGCGAGGACGAGGACGGCACAGGCGCAGTCAAAAGCAGAGGGACAACGACATTGAACTATTATTGTCTTATTACTTTTAGTCATTTTTAAATAATCATGGTTCCATTTTATATGATTATGATAATATATAAACAACCCCATCCCAAAGGAATGTATGCGGTAGAGTACTTGTTTCCCTCGTGGAGTTATGTATGTGTGTGGAGAGGTGAAATTCATTGCCTAAATTTTATATTCTTATTATTTTTATGACTTGTGCATATTGTTGTAAGAAGATCTTGTTTGATAACTTCAAATCTTCCTTCCTCAATAAAATTCTTTCATGTCCACTAAAACGTGGTCAGAGTATTGAGGTTTTGTTTTGTTTTTCTTTTCATTTCTTGATATCATAGCTCCTGCACAGACTGTGCATTTTATTCT